AGCGGTTCATTGTGGAGCTATGTGGAGTTAGACGTGCTGCAGGGGTGCTGCGTTTTCTTTTGCTACAGCATGGTTCTTGGGCAAGTCAACCTTTTGCTTCCTTAGAATTTAGTGTTGTCAAAGCTATCTTTAACAATTTACTCAGAGTTCTTAAGAGAACACCTTCACAAAATTAACAATGGAGATCTTCTAGTAAACAAGACCATTTCAGACATGCCTGAAACGGGGACCATGTGTGTACACACCATGTGTGTACCTGGCTTTTCCCTTTCATTCTTTGAGTTAAATTCAATGGAAATTTTAAGGGAAAAAAGTCAGTTACCTATTCCCTCATTTTTTAAATGAAATAATCTTAGCAATCATGCAGGAAAATAGTAAAGGACTTTTCTGGAATTCGTCGCTGATTTAAGACATGGGAAGATCATGATAAGCTGCATATCTTCCAGTCACGTGATGGTAAATCTGTGGGGAAAGCAGAGTTTAATTAGTCATTAATTATTATATTACTATACATATCAATTAATAATTACAGTATTACATAATAATTTTAGTTAACATCTCACTACAAAGCCCCACCTTTATGCACTCAGCAGAATCTCCATCCAACCTATTGAGGTGGAGGTTTGCTTGGAAGAAGCCAGAGGCTGTGTACAATGAGGTCATCAGATGAGTTTTCATCTCCAGTTCTCACAACCTAATAAGTGCCTTTTTTATTTCTTTCTCAAAAATACTTGTCAGTTTGTGCCAAGGACAACGGGTTGCTCCTCACCTGCCTCTCGATGTCCGCGAGCAGAGTGCTGGCACCTATTCGAAAGAGTTCTGGCTTCAGCCACTCATCCCCTAGCTCCTCCTTTATGAGAGAGAGCCATGCAAGGGAGTCCTTCGCGCTGCGGATGCCTCCTGCCGGCTTAAAGCCTATCTAAAAGGGGAGGTGGGAAAGAGAGCAATTTTTAGCATTGTTATTGGGTTGCTTTAAAAACTGGTCCTGTGTTAATACGGGGTCTCCATCCTCTCTTTTCTAAAACCTATTTCGAGTGTCCCCCCCGCCCCGCCTCCCCCTCACCCCCCGCAAAAGACCTTAGAGCACTGACTCATGTCCATTTACACTACAAAACGACTTTTCCAAGATTAATGGGAAGAATGTCACTGCCTCTGAGACACTAATGAGAGTTAATAACCCTCATTAACATTTCACTTACTGGAAAGTCATAAACCTCAACCATCTAGACCATAGCTGTGAACCTGGGATAAACAAGAGAGGTGTCAATAAACAGGAAAACATATCACAAAAGCCCATTCATTCTCTGTTTCTACCAGGAGGCCAGAAGAAATGTACACCTTTCAGCCCTCCATCCTGAGCTGCAAGAGAGACATATGTGGATTTAAAACAAGAGGAGAGACTCAGTGAGGCCACACTAAACAAATTAGCAGCAACCAGCAAGGAGAGGTGACAGTTACTTTAATCAACTTAACTGCAGGGACTCTTTTTCTAAGTTGTAAGTAGACCAAGTTACATAAAGCAGCCAAACAGTTAAAAAAGCACAGGTGAAAAAGACGGTGTAGGGGACCTTTACACTTCAGTAGTCTCTGAAGGTGACCACAAAACAGCACAATTCGGCCAATATCTGATGTTTACAAATGATGTCCCTGGGTCCATTCGAAAATGATAAACGTGTCCTATATACAGTAAAACCTGCTTATTTGGATATACTTGTCTCAAGAACTTGACTATCCGGTACAGTAAACACCCAAAGCCCAAGAACTAAAGCTCATGCCTTCAACCACTCAGAGTTTGGCTGCTCTGACAGGTGGCACCAGCAGGGGGTGATTGCTAACAGAATGCCAGAGAAGGGACACGATAAATGAATGGTCTCATTATCAACCTGTAAAAAATGATTAAAAAGAAACCTTGATTAAATAGAGTCGGGAGACCAGAAGCGGGGGGTTCTAACTCCTGGATAACAGAGCCTGACAGGAAGAAGAAAGACTCCTTTTCTGCAAGGGACTCAGCCAATGAAAAGCCCCGGACTCCTTGCTTAGTATACGCTGTCTTCCTTTTCCTCTCTATAAAGCACACTTCTTTCCTTGCCCTGCAGGGACTTGCATGTGGCTCGCCATGGTGGCTGATCCCAAATAAGCCCAGCTTTGGCGGAGAAATAGCTAGCGGTCTACCTGCTTTAGCTCAGCAAACCCAACCCAGAAACTCCTAATAACCTGGACTCCACCACGTCCCTCACATCACATCCAGTGACCCACCAAGTCAAGTCCCACCGATCCCACCCTCTGAACTCGTCTAACTCCACACGTACTTTCCTCTCTACTCTCCCTTCCACTGTTTAGTTTAGACTCTCGTCAGCCCTCACTGGAACATCGGGAGAAGCCTCCTAACCGGTTTCCCTGCCTCGGACACACGTCACACAGCTAAGCAACAGCCGTACAGAGATTCGAACCATATCTGCCTATCGCTCTGGAGCCCAAGTGACCCTGTAAGAGTGAGGGGAGGGACTTCCCTGATGGTGTAGTGGTTAAGAATCCGCCTGCCAATGCAGGGGACATGGGTTTGATCCCTGGTCCGGGAAGATCCCACATGCTGCGGAGCAACTAAGCCCGTGTGCCACAACTACTGAGCCTGCGCTCTAGAGCCCGCGAGCCACAACTACTGCAGCCTGCGTGCCTGGAGCCTGTGCTCTGCAACAAGAGAAACCACCGCCATGAGAATCCCATGCACCGCAGCAAAGAGTAGCCCCCGCTCGCTGCAACTAGAGAAGCCTGCATGCAGCAACGAAGACCCAACGCAGCCAAAAATTAAATAAGTAATAAAATAAAATAAAATAAAATGGAATTTCTTCAAAAGAACAATTAAAAAAAAAAGAGTGAGGGGAGGTGTGGGGAGTAGGGGGAGATAGGTAGAGTCAGGTTATTTATTGAGATGAGGCAAAAAAAAAAGAATAAATTTTAGCTCATATTAGCATACACGTTAATCACAGGGGCATTTTCTGTCAATTAGGCAGTGCTGCATATAGATTTTTCTATACAATTCAGTTGTGTCAGCAAATCTATCTGGCAATGTTTCGAAAGACAGTTTCTAGCGTAAGTTTATCCTTTTTTTTTTTTAAGGGAGAGAATATGGAAAACATAAATCTGCAGTGAAATCAGCTATGAAATATCAAGCCTCTGCTTCTCAGGAGTGACACTAATCATGGTCTGGAAGGCGGCCTGTCACATTTTAAAACACCCCTTAAATCAATGATGTGGAAGCTTCACAGTCTAAGGGCTGCCCGGGCAGCTTGTCAACAATCCAAAAAAATGCCCCTGATTTGCAGATACACACACAGGTCCTATGTGAAATCAAATGTGATCAAGATGAATATGAATTGACGTGTACCTGTTTCTCAATAAAACCAGGATGAACTTTATTTATTAGCTGAGGAAAGGAGGGATACAATTTAAAAGAAAGTAATGAAAGACAGCAAAATGTCCCTCCCTCACTACCCTGATCTAGAACACTGAACACTTAAAACTTTTATTGAAATTCTTGTGTAAGGGCTCTTTTGAGAAGGGGCATGTTCACTTTTGTATCCCTAGCACTTAACATAGGTTAACATAGCACACAGGTAACGACTCAATGAATGTTTACTGAAAACAAAACAGGACTTGGGCCCCCACTGGAGAATTTTAGCCCCAACTATGGAGATTATGAAACGTAGAGATGCCTGAAGACTGATCCAGGACTGCCGGGGTGAGGACCCAGGCATCTGGAAGTATAAAAAGCTCCACATCTATTGGAATGTTCTTCGGCTGAGAATTAAGAACCACTGATCTAGTGAGTGGTGGTGGTCTCATTTGGGGGGCCCAAAGCTGGAGTTCTCATTTCTACAGCTTTGCTTATAATTTTTTTTTTTTTAATTTGGACCATTGCAGACAGGCTACCAAGTAGAGGTTACTCAAGTTGGGTTAACTTTCATATGTAGGTCACCATGTAGATATGTATCCTATTTGTACTCTTCTAAGTATGAAGGTATTCTGAAGGAGCAAATGCTGCAAGGAGTTCATTTCCTCTCAAACCCAGGTACCTTCTTAAAAAGGTCTCCGATTCCAAAATAAACTGAAATACAGTCACATATAAAGTCATCACAACCAGCTGGCAGATGATTAAAGTTCTTTTATGGGTTTCTATTCGGCAGAAATCAAGAGATTGGTTTTAAAAGATGCCTTTCAGGAAGGGAAAGTCTCATTTAAAAATAAAAATTACCTTTCTCGCCAGTGATGTTAAAAAAAAAAATCCTTTGAGATAATTTGCAGCTAAACAAGCAACTTGAAGTGAAAAGGAAAATCCAAACTCATTTAAAAAAAAAAAACACCTCATACGCATTTTTCCTTTTAAATTCATGTTTCAAAAATATGTATTATTTTTCGAAAAGCTGACAAAAGCGAGCATATACCCTCCTCAGCTTAACAGTCTTCCAAAGAGCACCTCCAGCTGCCATAAAACGCAAAAATGGATATTTAATTCAAGAGCTATATAACGTCTAGCTACCTTTTCCTTTGCTGTTTCACAGCATTTCATTATTTTGTTTAATAAGTTCATCTCCTCGAGAATTTTCTCTTCACCTCATATTATTAAAAGTAATAAGTTTTTCTGGACCGGGGGTTTCCCAACAGAAAAACCAATTTATGTGTGTCCTTCAATAATGACAGGAAAAGATTATTTCCCATTATATTGCATACTTTTCATATCACCACCACAGCTTATCATTCAATAAATGTTACTCTGCAATTCTTTCCATTCCTCAAGAAGTTTAATTTCTGCAGTAACCTGTTTTCTCTGGCCAACGCCTTACCAGAAAGTTTCTGTGTTGCAGCAGAATTAGTTCGTTAAGGAACCCATTTAGGAATCTCTCGTCAGTGATAAAATTGTCTTCGGTTAATAAAAGGACACAAAGTGAGTTTACACCTTGATCACACATCCTAACGCCCACACTCACACTCACTTTCTGTGAATCGCACAGTTTCCCCCCCCCCCCGAATGTATTCTTTTGTAGTAAAAGGTAAATTAAACGTTTATCTTAATACAGGTAACACACTCACACCATCTGCCTATAATGCCTATAAAGACAGTTATCATGGCTGCGACGAGTATTGTAAATAACATTATCTTCACTCCAAAGAAAGATTTGCTGGCAATAATATACCTTGTTTCCAGTTTTCCAGAAGAAATCCCTAATGGCCCGTAGCATGACTATAGCTACTGGGAAGGTGGCATTTACTGTTTCTTTTCCAGTAGAGGTCTTAATAAAATCTGATCCTAAAACAAAAGGAAGAAAAAGCTCCATGTTAATTAAAAAACTTATTTTTTATACTTTTGAGTTGGTGGAAGAAACGAGTTGTGTAAATTCTTTTTCCTGAGGAACACGACTTTATTTTTCATCAATTATTTGAAAAACTAAAACCAAATCTCTCTTTAAAGTCATTCTGTCCACATTTTTTTCCCCCTGATCATACGATGGATTAAATTAGGCACCAAATGGATTCTCACTGATCCCTGGAGCTCTTGTCTCTATATTTCCATATCAGCAATTAAAACCAAGTTGGTTTATTTAACACAAAACTGAGAGGAATAGAAACAATTTCATGCCCTGTGCTTAGCATCATATAACATTTTACGACAAAACCGGAGGGCCTACTCATATTCTTACGTGTGATAGAAAGTACACAGTACAGCTGAGACAACACAAGGAGAACCACCAATAGCTGATTCCTACTGCATTGTTCGTTAACGAAAGCTCTGTCTTCCAACCAGATTGTGATTTTCATGAAAGACACCATGCATTTTCAACTTGCAAATATTTTAAACACTTCCTGTCTCTCAAATGTATCTTACACCTACTGATGTAGGTTTCTGCTGAATAGAAACCCACAACAAAATAGCACAAGGAGACAAAGAGAGGATAATAATAGTTAAGAGTCACTGAGTGCTGTGCACTATGCACTATTCTAGGTGCTTTGTAAGTACTGACTCAATCGATCCTCACAATAACTGTATAAGTACTAATATGATCCCCATTTTTAAAGAGGAAATTAAGGCACAGAAGTGTAAAGTAACTTGCTTGAGGTCACGCAGGGCAGGGGGTAGGTAGAATTCTAAACAAAGCAATATAGCTTAACCCATGTGCTATAGAGTCTCTAAGAAACCTACTGAGGGTCACACAGTCAGACAGCCAAACACAGACTCCATCCTTCAGGTGGTGAACCATCCTCACAATGCTCCGTGCAGACCACAGATCAGCAGCACAGGCACTATCAGGGAACGTGTTTAAAATGTAGACTCTCAGACTTCCCTGGTGGCGCAGTGGTTAAGAATCCACCTGCCAATGCAGGGGACACAGGTTCAATCCCTGGTCCAGGAAGATCCCACATGCCACGGAATAACTAAGCCCGTGCGCCACAACTACTGAGCCCACGTGCCACAACTACTGAAGCCTGCGTGCCTAGAGCCCATGCTCGGCAACGAGAAGGCACCACTATGAGAAGCCTGTGCACTGCATCAACGAGTAGCCCTCGCTCGCCGCAACTAGAGAAAGCCCGCGCACAGCAACAAAGACCCATCGCAGCCAAAAATTAATAAGTAAATTAAATAAAATAAATTTTTTTAAAAAAGTTTGTTTAAAAAACTAAAACGTAGACTCTCAGGCCCTACACCAGACCAACTGAATCATAATCTGAACAGAAACAAGGTTCCTAGGTGATTCCTGGGCCAGTGCATGGGCCCTCGCGCACAAAATCTGTGGAACCCTACGTAAGACTAATCTCTGAGATTCTCCCAGGTCTGTCAAAGAAATGGTCAAAAGAAGTGGAGACAAGAAGTGGCCAAAACTTTCCCCTCTGGTTTCGACTACAAAAGACACGCCCAGGACTACCCTGTGGATAGAAAGGTTCAAATCAGCACGCCTTCAGCAAGCACACTGTGTGAAAGGCACAGTGGGAAATATAAACACAAATCATTCAAGCCCTTTCCCTCAAAAGCATACATGCTATGAGCAGGTATAGAGGAAACATAAATCCTGGGTAATCACTTGGTGAGCCAGAAGTCAGGAGATCTGGTTTCCGGCTCTGCCAGGTACTGTCTTTACCTTGCAAATTCCATCACCTAACCTTTCTCATTTATAAAACATGTCTGGAAATTCTTACTTGCTTCATAGTGTTACACAAAGAATCAAAAGAGACAATCTCTGTGAAAAGACTGTGAAAACTGTCAAGTGTTATACAAACAGAAATGGAGCAAAGACCTAGGTAGGGTTGCAATCTGTGTAAGAACCACAGGAATTCTGATCTATCCAAGCAGGTCATTGGAAGCCTTCTTTCCTTTGGGCCTGTAGGCCCATTTGGGGAAATGGAGATGTGCCTGTCATGCCTGCATTCATTCAGGAAGTATTCACTGAGTGCTTACTATGTGCTGGATTCTGTTCTACATGCTGGGAACAGATCATGACACAAAACAAAGTTCTTGCCCTTGTGACTAGATTCTCCAGAAGAAAAAGACAATAAACAAAGAACTATATAACAAAGGCCAGGTGGAGTGAAGTGTGGTGAAGAAAAATAATGCAACATAACGAGAAAGAGAGTGACGGATCTGGGGAGAGGTAGATGTATTTAAATAGTCACCATAAAGGCATCTCTGATGAGTAAAATTCAGAGACTGATGAAGGGAATCTGTGAAAAGAGCACCACAAGCAGGGAAACAGCAAGTGCGAAGGCCCTGAGGTAGGCATGTGCTAAGGTGATGATGAGTGAATAAATGCGACTCCACGACCAATGCCTGGCCCCTACAATGTCAGAAATAACAAGCAAAGAGAAGAAATGAAAGCCCGCAAACAGATGTAAGAGGTGAGGGGAACATTACTAAAAAATTCACACTGCAACCATGATGTGTTCTCCTAATAGGTGACACTGTCTTCTGATTCACTAGAAGGCTTTTGGGTACAACACTGGATCTATCTGAATTCTTCTAAGCATCTCAGAAGAGAAGATTATTAAGACAGAAGACCAAGGCCATATTTAGAGGCCTAAAAAAAAAGGTACGGTCACTTAAAAATCACACCATCTAAAGTTAACCAAAAGAGCCAAACTCCCTTACGGAGGAGACTGTCTTCCTAATACACCTAGAAGAAAACACCTACCGTGGTAGCAATAGCAGCCCAGGAGCTGTAATGGTGGCCTACACATTGTTTGTGCCCCTTTCTTGACTGTATTGTTTGAAGACAGGTGCTATACCTTTCTTGTGCACTTCTGTATCCCCAGAGCGTGACACACATGAGAAGCTTAATAAATTTTGGATGGGTGGATGGGTGGGTAGCCACAGTTACCAAGAAAAAGCAAATAATAATATTTTCCATGTTTAACTGACTAATGGGGAAAAGGAAGACGGTTTGGGGTTTCATTCCAGTCCCAGTAACAAAATTGGGCAGGTGGCTTAGAAGAAAATATCATTTTATTTATTTATTTTAAGTTCAGAACAGATTTAGATCTACAGCAACATTACGAGGACATTACAGAGAGTTCCCATATACCCCACACTCAGTTTCCCCTATTATTAGCAACTCATATCAGTATGGTACCTTTGTTATAATTAATGAACCAATATTGATGCATTATTAAAACCAAAATAATACTTTATTTAGATAAATAATACTTTATTTAGATTTCCTTAGTTTTACTCAGAATCCAATTTCATCCAGCATACTATAATACATTTGTCATGCCCCCATAGGTTCCTCCTGGCTGTGACAGCTTCTTAGACTTTCCTTATTTTGATGACCTTGACAATTTTAAGGAGTACTTGTCAGGTATTTCATAAAATTTCTGTCAACTGGCATTGTCTGACATTTTTCTCATGATTACACTGGGATTACATGTTTTTTGGGGAAGAAAACCACAGAGGTAATGTGCCATTTTCATCACATCACATCAAGCGTACATATTAACAATATCACTTCCCACTGTTGAAGTTGACCTTGAACACTGGTGGAGGTGGTATTTGCTAGGTTTCTCCAGTGAAAAGTCACTCCTTTCCTCCTATTTTCCATACTGTACTCTTTGGAAAGAAGTCCTTAGTGTGTATCCCGCACTTTAGGAATGGGAGCTGCAAACCACTTCCTTCAGGGAGGAGCAGCTACATACATTCTTTGGATGTTTTTGCATGGGAGACTTGTCTCTTCTCCATTTATTCATTTATTTATAATCATTTATTTATATGAGTATAGACTCAAAGATATTTATTCTTCACTTGGGTTTATAATCCAATATGACTTAATTTATTTTGTTGCTCAAATGGCTCTAGGTTTGGCCATTGGGAGTTCTTTCAGGTGCTTCCTGTGTTCCTTTGACACACCACCATCATGTGGATTTTTTGGTTTTTTAAAGCACTTACTTTCTGGTACTACCAGATGCTCCAGGCTCGTCTTATATGTTTTCCACCCCAGTCCAAGAATAAGCCATTTCTCCAAAGAGCCCTGGTTCCTTTTATTGGAAAATAGTGTTAGAAACTAAGATCTTGGTGGTAGGTATACTCATTGCTATTGCTAGGGATCCTGCTTTTAGGCCTTCTCAGCTGACTGAGCAAGGAAAAATGTGTGTATATTCTAACCCACTGATATATACATATATATTTACAATTCCATATTTAACTATCTACGTCTATATTAAACTAAAGACCAGTTGTACTGATGTCTCCAACTCTAACCCATTACAAGGATTGTTCTAGCCCTCTCGCCTTGCTTATCTGTAAACTCCCACCCCAACGGTGAGAATCTGGCACCCACCATCCATGATCCATTTATTTAATTGTGCACATCCAGTATGCATGTATCGTGTTCTCTGAATTGTTAACCACACCATTAAGGAAAACCACTGCATCAACGACTGTCTAGTGCTAACGTGCAGTTTCACTGGCCTCTAAGCTTTATAGACTCAATTCATTTATAAAGATATGTAGCTCAGCACCTTTTCTCCCACCTCCTTCAGTGAAGCTGTTTTGTACATTTGTAATACAGTTTGATTCTTTGGCCACAGTGTGCATTCCATCCTGGAATCCCCTGACCCCCTAAATGGCTGTGTTCATTTGCATACATTAAGGTTCACTCGTAGTGAATCTTCCTAGTGGTTTTTAAAAATGTATAGTGTTATATATCCATCTTTACAGTACCATACAGAATACTTCCACCACTCTAAAAAATCCCCTAGGCTTCACATTTTCATTTCCCCCTTACTCCAGCAATCACTGAACTTTTTACTAACTCAACAGTTTTG